GCTTTACCAAGAATATCGATAGATTACACATACTTAAGTAATAAACGATCACTTGAGACTAACTATTAATCTCAATATTTCCAAGTGTACAGTTTTATATCATATTTGCGCTAATCTCAAAAACTGCTAAACCTATTATAGACTTAAACATATCCATATAACACAAATACAGACAATATACACTAATGGCCTGGAAGAAAATTAAACGACAGCTACATACATTTAACATAGCTAAAGAAACCGTAAGGTCTGAGTGTAAGCCGGCCACTTAGCACATAGCACACGCTTCCGGACAGTTTGCCCTATACATTACCATGGATTAGGGACCAGATGGGCATTTGTAAATTCAACTAAGTAACCCATAGGCACTTTAACATCAGGTTTTCGTAACCCAAAAGCTAAAATTTCAATTAACACCAAATTTTCTCCAGCTCTGTTTATAATTTCCATGCCATGTGGCGATCATGTTGTCATAGACAGGAATGTCGTGGGTGTCGTGGTGGCCCGGAGGTTGAAGACGTCTGCTTCTCATGCACGAGGGTGTGGGTTCGAAAGCTATGTGACTTTTTCCGAGTTATATGTATTTTCTAAGATTATTTAGACACCACTGACAAACGGTGCAGGAAAACATCGTGAGGAAACCTGGGCTTATAATTTCTAATTATAAGTTTGAATTCGCCAACCCGCATTGAGCAAACGTGGTGATTAATGCTATAACCTTCTCCGTGTGAAAAGAGGCTTTGCTCAGCAGTGGGCATTTATAGGCTGTTGATGAGACAGGTATAATTTCTGACTCCGCACTTGTACCAAAAATTTGAAAAGATCAGAAGCCTATCGTATTCTTTAGTTGGCCTGATTAATATTATACAAACCTAATGGATAGCTGAGGCCACTCAAATAACAAGGTATTACAATACTTAAGTAATCAAACAAAGTAACTATAAATAAGTAAATCTCTGGTATTACAGGTTTTAAGGTAATTGATTGCTCACGGTCGTGTTAGGAAGTTATTTTGGTTAAAATATCCTGTTTTCTAAAGTCGGTACAATATGTTATGTGCTGGCACCTACTTACCTCAGTAGATACTTAAATATTACACGTAAACTATGCATGAAATGATATAAATATCTATGTACTTGTAGACTGTGAATATTATAATTGGATTCTATCATCGATTATTATTGTATTTTAAAATCGTGTAAATGACGAATAACATTGTTTATTTTGTAATAGATGTCAATATTTATAATTCTATATTTTAAACAAAATAAGAAGATAGTAACTCTATCATGCTCAAAACGAATAATTTACATGAATGAAGATATTTACATTTTTTAAAATACAATGATACTATAATAACATTCTGTTCTCCTTCATAAAAAAGATGAGATCGCTTTTCGCTAATAATTATATCTAACATTTCAAACAAGCATAGATCAATGATATTCAAAACTCATAATTTTAAAGAAGTCTTTCTACCTTAAAATACTCTAAGAAAATCGAATGTAATGAAGTCGTAACAGTGTTATCATACGCTATCATAACTTCACTTCGATAGCCCAGCATCCAAGCTAGATAATCCAAGATCAATTTACTTGGCTTTTTCTAATTAAGAAATGTTCTTAAGTATGTACTAAGTAGGGTATCGAGTTAAGTAGACAAACCACTATATGCATGTAGGTATCTGCTAATTGTGTGTAATTGCAAATGTCTCAGATCATATGGAGCGTAGAAAGCGACACAGACCTCGTTTTTAACTGATGTACCATTGGTGATGTCACCGTGGTAGTAATTACGAGATCAGTATTATAAAGTTGATTTAGACATAATTTCAAATCTACGTAGATTAAGACCTATTTAAAAAGTTATACCACTATACTATAGAGGTATATACTTTTTAGAAAAATTGGTACTACATTCAATTGTACGTAATAGATGGCGAATTAAATACAATTCTACATTTTTGTTCTACCGACATTATGAAAGTCGGAAACGAAAACAATATGGTTACCAAACTTTAATGCATTAGCTGTGATTCCAAACACTAAACCGAATAGTCTTTTCACAATTCCACGTACAGACTTACAGAGTAATTATCTAGAGTAGTTAATTGTTACTGTCATTGTAAGTAGGTATGTGTATTTCCTATAACATACCTATGTATTTACGTCATATACCTATGTGTGTGTGTGTTGTGTGATGTGATGTGAAGATGTGACGATAAACTCTAGTTCCTCATTGCCTTTGTGGTTCTTGCAGAAATAGACAATAATATTATATAGACAAGTTCTTAATGGCTTTAAGGATTGAATATTAATGCAGTGATAAATGATTGAACCTGTAATCTAGTGCTAAGTGTCGCGGAGAACCTAACGGGTTACCGGGGCTCCGGCTCGACGTGCAGGAGAAGGAACGGGGTGGTTTTTAGTCAGTAAGAGTTTGACACTCCCTCCCGCCTCACCCAAGCGGGGGGAGTCATTCGATGATTTTCCCCCCTTAAAAAAAGGCTAGTGTTTAGTGAAAACCACTGGTAGTTAATATAAGGAGGACATGAAATTGAGCTCGATTACTTAATCTAAAATTTTATAGATGGAGTCTTCGTAGTGATTTTACTCTATCACAATATATTGATATAATAATTTGACAAGAGGTCGGTTTAGTAAATAAGTTTTCTATATTACTAGCTTTTGCCAGGGACTACGCCCGCGCTTCTAGGGAATAAAAAGTAAGCATTGTGTTATTCCAAACCATAAGCTACTCCTGGTCCATATTTCACCCCGATCCCTTCATCTGTTTAGATGTGATTGTAAAAAACATACGCATAGGGACACACACTCACAAACGGTCGCATTTGTAATATAAATAGGATAATGTTATCAATATCTTTACTCTACTGCCTCGTTGGCCGAGTGGTCCCAAGTGCGACTGCCGTGTAAGGGGTCTCGAATTCGACTCCCGGGTCGGGCAGTACTAGCACGAAGTCTAGAATTGTGCCCGGTATATGACAATAGGCTCACCCCCTATTACATGGCACTCATTACATAAATAGTGAAAAGTGGGTGTTACATTGTACAGTAGCATTAAGTGCCGTAGATAATGTTCACCTCTGCCTACCCCTTCGGGAATAAAAGGTGTGATGTTATGTATGTATGTAGTTACCCAAAAAAACATTTTCACTTGGAATGACCGGTATCGTCAATGCACGCTACACATGAGTACCGAAAATATTTTAATAACAAAAGTTAATTACAAAGTTAAATGTTTAACTCGTATCAAGGTTAACGTTTATAACGTTTTCGGTAAATTTAATATTGAATGTAATTAACACGGTGATAAGGTACACAGGTTTTTGTTGGTAAAGATGGTTATTAAGTTACTATTTTTGTAAATTATATGTTATTAATTTATACGTGGATGGACGACCTGATCAAGGTCGCAGGGAGCCACTGGATGCAGGTCGCTTCCAACCGGCCAATCTGGAAGTCGTTGGGGGAGGCCTATGTTCAGCAGTGGACGTCCTGTGACTGATATGATGGTACCTATATCGATTACATTTAATGTTCCTAGACCAATATTATAGGTAAAAAGTGAGATTACGTTATAATCACCTAGATTATCATGAATGCAAAAAAATAATTTAGTCGATTATGTATTAAATAATCTATTTTTTATAGAATACAAGACTGTCATTTCGCGATTCAGAAGGAAATAGGTAAAGACACGTCAAATATAGTAGAAATAAATACTCAGTTAATGATCAGTCGCAACTTTCATTACTTCAATTTTCCAATCACAACTTCCGAGGAACAAATAGACAAACAGAAGTTCAATACAAACGTCACAAATAGCAATATGAGTAGGAATGAGTGTAAAGTTAATAAATTAGGCGTCGCATGTGAAACACTAGCCTACATTCCGTGTGTGCACAAGTGTGTGCGGTTCGATCTCTAGTCTGTGCAACAAATATTAGCGTTTGACAGTTTTCCACACCTACACCAGCACACTACATTTGTGGCAAGTAAATAACTTTAAACGATGTTAGAATTAGTGCAAAGAGTTCATTTTATAAGAGTTCATTTTACAGTATTGAAATATGTATCAGAGACATTGTAGAACATACTTTTTTAAAAGAGTAACGAATGGAGTTTCTTGCTCGTTCTTCTCCATTCGAATCTACGTTTTGGAATGAGCACCTAGCTTCACCTAGCTTCACTGACGGACTGACTGACAGACTATTATTTATTTTGTATTTGTTGACGTTTCAAAAGTACCAAACTATGGTTTAATTGAAATAAATGCTTTGACTTTGAGTTTGACTTTGACTTATGGTTACATTCCGTGTAAATCTTTTGATCGAGGAAAATCTAAGGAAATTCGTGGAAAATTGCGATTAGATCCGACTAATGCATTACTTTGGAGGAAACTGATTTTAGACCTTAGATTTGAACATTAAAAAATTAAACAATTTTTATATTTTTTAGGTTTTCAGTGTTTCAGTACCTACGTTCAGTAAGTCAAATCATAAGATCTCATCAGAAATAAGAAACGTATTGCTAAACATATTGTAAAATTGAAACTGTTGTATAAAACAACTTTTACCCATTTATACGTCGACCTTGCGATACCAAATGCGGGTAGATGCCGAATATTTAATGCGCAAACTTCATGCGTATGCGCATTGCGATCAACAAATTATACATTATACTAAGTAATATGAATATTTTACGTTGAATATATATCAATACGATCAAATATCTAATTTGTCACAGATTTAGTATCACTTTATCTATTTATGCTATTTTTTTTATAAACAAATATAAAACACCAAAAAAAGAAGCAGCGTACATAATTCGATGTGAATAATTGAGAAAATGTATAAATCAACATATTCAAACACAATTAGAAAGTCAATAATAGTTAATAACATTCCGCAGAACAATTCCTGCAGCATCAAAGAGGCCGAATCATTACAAACAGCACGCGAAATTGAACCCACTTACCTACGGTTGATGGCAGGTGACCACCTTCCAATCACTGGTCAATTAGAACCTCAAAGAGTTGGGTAAGCAGGAGCATTCACAGGCACAGTCACTTTTATCGTAAGTATATGTTCACACGCGTGTTTCACTCGCGTCGCGTGCGCAGGTGGGCGGTACGTGCGCGCGTCGTCGGCAGTCGCGCCGTTATGTCGGCCCGGCGCGCGCGCAGCCTGGAAAGCGGTCGCGGTTTGATGCGCAAAGATTAAAACGTACGATGATAGAAGTGACTTACAAAAACTATGATTAAATTATTTACCCTAGCCATTGTGTAATAATTTCTTTTGATAAAAAGTAATGGCGTCTTGCGAAAGATTAATTAACGGGATCTCTATGAATTACGTGAATGTCCCACCAATGATTCAATATTAATTTGGCAAGCGGAGTTATGTCTGGAAGTTTACAGTTTGCATCCCGTCTCGGTCAATGACACAGACGTAACCGCAATAAGTCATTGATCTTCTTCATTTCGATTTCATTTTTTAAGTTTGCGAATTCTATTTTTGCTGTAGTTTATTTGTATTTTTTTTTATTTGTTTTTACAGCAGTCTCGTAGCAAACTTAGAGCTGTCTATTATGAAACTGAAAACATTTTTAAAGTAAATCACACAGTATGCAAAATGCATGACACGTAGGTTCTACTTAGTCTTCGTAGCACCAATAAGAGATTTTCGTATCAATTTTACATGAATATAGCTATCGCATAAAAACTAAAAAAATACACAATTTTTACAATATTATTAGTTCAAAACAATTTTCGATTCTCTTTTCAAACACAATAATGAACTTACACATCGAATCCATCACAAAACAAAACCATCCACACTATTCTACCTACATGCCAATCTGTACTTCTTACTCTTTGCCACAGCCAGTTATCAATGAAGATGGTCGATGTTATCTGGAAGCTGTCGATCGGAGGGAAAGTGGACGGCACGACCACATCAAGGAGCCCTAGGTTATGGTCGTCAGATTGCCTATCTATTGAAATGGAAGATGACACGATAGGGCCAGATCAAACAGTTCCTTTGTTACCATGACGGAGATCTAATGGAAAACTTGACCGTGGCTGCCCATCGATCAGTTTGTGAGATGATGCTCTTTCTATCTAATACTATGATATCTGGATGTCAGTCTTAGGATAGTAATAAAATAAATAATTATTTCATATACAACGTTTAAGGTAACCGATTTCGACTTCCCCGTTTTTTTTGAAGTCAGTTAATGAATATTTTTAAAACCTTTTCCTAAGTGTATCTAACGAACACTTTCCTGAAAACAGCATCAAAATCGGTTCGGCTAATCGCAACATAATTGTTTGAGAACCTACTGTTTTTGAAGTCGGTTAAAAGCCTTATATTTCGCTGTGGCAGTGGGTAGGGCACATAGCGCGGAGAACGGACTGCCGCTGAGCCAGAAAGGTTTTCGAGTGGAGGCCACGTACCGGCAAGTGCAGCGTAGGACGTCCATCCCCAAGGACCAGACGACCTGATCAAGGTCGCAGGGAGCCGCTGGATGCAGATCGCTTCCAATCGGCCTATCTGGAAATCATTGGGGGAGGTCTATGTTCAGTAGTTGACGTCCTGTGGCCAATCTAATACAAAATAATTGAAAAAAAAAATGTTATTAGATTTTTCCTTTACTTTTCACGCTTTCTAGTTTAGATTCATTAGTACTTGTATGTAAGCATAGGTCCCCTAGGATAGTAACAAGACTCATTCCAGAATTTTTAGCAGGTGCAGAAGATTGTATACCCAGTACTAAAATTATTTTCATAGTTGTTATGAAAGACAAATGGGTATTTGTCTTTCAAAAATAACGTGCTAAATATAAAAAATTTAAAGAGCCCGTAATGTTACGAATCTTATTGTTAGAGGATTCGCCTATTGCTAAATTACAGTACTGACTATTATCAAACACAATAACATATCACAAATAGGAGATATCGTTTTGATACTTTTCCAATTCTCAATCGAATTTCTCCAATAATGTTTCTGTACAGTTATAATAAAAATGTTTAATAACGTTTTGTTCAGTATTACGTACGTAATTATTGTTCGAAGAGAGAATACACTCCTTGTCGCCATCGGATCACAAGACCATCAGGAAAGTGGTATTTTGTGAGGTTTTCCTCATACGAACCGATAAGATGTCGGACTCTTTCCCTCTGAAGGTGTACCATCTGGATGTCTTCAAATCGAGCTCCATCCTCTGCATCATGACTGACGCTTATTGAGGGAATTGTTTAACCTGATACCTGCCGCATCTTTTCGCCATCGACCTTCACGACAGCATATGCATCCCCACCATATAGTTGGTTGGCAGGCCACAACTGTCCGCTTCTCACGTAGCTTCCTGCCTCGCACAGCAATGCTGTGGAATGATCTGTCGTCGGCGGTATTTCCGAACCGATACGACCTTCAAACCTTTAAGAAAAGAGCGTATTCCTTTTTAAAAGGCCGGCAACGCACCTGTGGCCCCTCTGGTGTTGCGGGTGTCCATGGGCGGCGCTGATCGCTTACCATCAGGTGATCCGTCTGCTCGTTTGCCTCTTATTCCATAAAAAAGGGCAAATACAAACTTAAAATGATGACATAACAATACTGCCAATGACTTTAGCTATCTATGTAGCAGTCCACAGAATGCCGTCGAGGCATCCGTCCCAAGCAACCCTTTTCTGCAATCGACTAGAACGACACTGCGGTTACAATTCCGTTGAAAAATACGTTAATTTTCATAACTGTAAGTAAATCCCTGTATTGATAGATAAACAATCACTTAACCGCTATCTCTGCCTATCACTCATCCTTATAATTACCGTAATCATATAGAATTCCTCACTTCTTACACCGAAGTGTTTCAAGTAATTGATCTGGAACATTCTCGCCATTTATAAAAGGTCAGTTACGCCTTACATTCCTCTACCCAGTATCTCGTACTTGCGATCATTTGTATAAATATCTGTTATTTTGTTTGGCAATAGAAAAACACACACACACACACATACACACACACACATAGCTTATTGTATTTTTATATATTATTTATGTATTTCTTTTTTATACCTCACTGCCTCATTGGCCGAGTGGTCGCAAGTGCGACTGCCGGGCAAGGGGTCTCGGGTTCGATTCCCGGGTCGCGCAAAGTATTACATGGGACTCATAACATAAATAGTGAAAAGTGGGTGTTACATTACAGTGGCATTAAGTGCCGTAATGTGCACCTCTGCCTACCCTTTCGGGGATAAAAGGCGTGATGTTATGTATGTATTCTTATTTATATATTGCTAGTATATTATATCTATTGTAGGTTGTATTGTAGGTTGTATTGTAGGTATTTTTATTTTGTCTTTTTTTTATTGTACACTTAACTACCCCTTATCTGGTTACTTATAAATATTTCCATCCAAAGGTTGTCTGGAAGAAATCACCATTGTGTGATAAGACCGCCCATTGTACGCATATTTACTTGAATTGTTTGTTTTAAGCTACTAAAATGTGTACAATAAAGCATATATAAATAAATAAATAAATAAATAAAAACCATTAACGGGCGGATATAAACTTTATGGTCACTTAAGATCATGTATGTACCTACTTATTTATTAGGGGGTTCGATCTTCGTGTTCTTATTTGTTGCAACTAAGTAGCTGTCGAACTACACCCTGTCTATATCGGACCTGGATATTTTTTCCTTTTCTCCAACTATAGAAACTGTGATAGAAACTTTGTAGTTACAAATTTTTTAACTGCCACTTATTTACAAGGCCAAATCCAGGATCACACTACCGGTTTCTACTAACCCCCTCTAAGAATCCTCACCAAAGAAAGTAGACCACCAACATTTGCTAGTGCAAACGACAAGCCAAGCGCCCATTTATTACCAAAACATTAGCTCTTGAACAGAGCGCACCGCTCATCATTATGCCGAGAGCACCACCGCTGGCCTTGAACGAGGTGCATACTAAACAAGGGGAAATGACTCCAAGTCCTTGCCAACACGTGCAAATGATCACAAATCAAGGTCAAAGAAACCAGGAGAAACTTATGAAGTCATCAGGATGTGAACGAGGAATGTTAGAGAAATTGCGAGATTATCTGATGAAGATTCATTGTGGAACAGTGAGAGTTTTGCAAAAATTGATGGAAGATGTCTTGTGGTTGTACTGAAAGTTGTTAGCAAGCTAGATATCGGAAAATGCACTGAGTCATCTGAAGTAAACTCTACTAATTAAATAAAAATGGACTTGTCTTTACCTATAACATCTGTGAAAACAGGATTTGACCCCACGGTAACCTATGCAACCCACATTATAACTTCCAATAGTCCTTCTTTTAACTAACAGCCTATTCCCTCATACAGACTACTATATCACCACCCTCGAAGTAAGGAAACAATCAAGTACTTCTAACTTATCCGACTGATACTCTAATGCCTTCGTATAAGATTACCAAACCTGTCCTATCGAGATGTAAATAACATTTGCATCGCATTACAACACAGATAAGCAACTATGTAATACTACTTACTTCATAAATACTACCTGATAGCGATATTTAGGGTAGTAAGACGCGTGGGACGCGGTTCATTGCCTGAGTCAGACGAAAATGTTCGTTTTATTCACAGTCCACCTTTTTAAAGAGAATCGACTTCAAAATAACGAATCGAATGAGGATTTTTGGTATTTATAACAATGTTAAAATGATCTAACTTGGATTAAGTGTTTATGTTTTTAATGAGATTCTAAGTTTTTTTTTTTTATGGAATAGGAGGCAAACGAGCAGACGGATCACCTGATAGTAAGCAATCAGCGCCGCCCATGGACACCCGCAACACCAGAAGAGTCACAGGTGCGTTGCCGGCCCTTTAAAAAGGAGTACGCTCTTCTCTTGAAGGTTTGAAGGTCGTATCGGTTCGGAAATACCGCCGACGACAGATCATTCCACAGTTTTGCTGTGCGAGGCAGGAAGCTACGTGAGAACCGCACAGTTGTGGCCTGCCAACCATCTATATGATGGGGATGCATATGCTGTCGTGAGGGTCGATGGCGAAAAGATGCGGCAGGTATCAGGTCAAACAATTCCTCAGAGCACTCCCCGTGGTATAAGCGGTAGAAAATGCACAATGAAGCTA